TCCCAGGTTTATAGGTAGTTTTTTTTTTTTTTTTTTTTTTTTTTTGCAAATGGCAGCCAGGTGGATGGGTATGCTGTTCTAAAGCATACATTTGGAAAAACAAGGCTGCTGGTTTTAGTGGGTCATCTCTCTGGAGTGCTGTCAGTGAGGGAATGCCTTTGAGCTACCCTGAGAACTGATCTGGAATCCTGAGCTGCATTCGCTTCCTTTCTGGCCCACGAATGCTTGTGGTTGAGAAGGCTCTCACCCAGGCCTTCTAATCATAGTCACTGGAACTGGAATGCAGTGAGCAGCAGGACACTCCTCAAGCTTCTCAGGGGGATTCTAACCTCTCCCTAAACTTCCTCTCAGGAGGGCTCCCTCCGATTACTGGATTGCAAGGAGCTTTCCTTGGCACAGGGTGGCCCAAACACGGGGAAGCACTGAGGACCTAAAGCCTCTCAAGTCTTGTTCCCAGAGTGCTGCACGCTGCAGTCCCCACAGCAGAGGTGGCACTCACAGGGTTGTATGGGGCCATCTGTTCAAGTTCAACTGCAGGGGCCACTGCTCCAGGGCTGCAACCAGGGGCTTCCTAGCAGGGAAAGGTTTGATTTAAAAGTCTCTGCTGACCCCAAATATGCAGGAAATACAAACAGCAGAAAAGCAGAGCCCTGGGCACTACTGTAGTCACATCACCACTGCCTCCTCATCCTCCCAGAGGCAGGCCCTGGGCAGGGGGCAAGTGAATGTGGCCGGTGTGTCCATGCTGGGCCAGTGCCCTGGCAGCTGTGGCCCTCACCTGTGAATGGGCTTTTCCAGGGGCAGTGGAGGTAGGGCTGGTCCTTCCACATCTTGACCTTGTTATTACCCTTGAGACCAAGACAATGCATTTGAGAAATGGCCCCATGGCTCAGGGTATGGTCTGAGGCCGGGTTTCGGAGAGAGGGAATGAATTCCACTACCAGCCCCAAGAACACCAGGCTGTGAATGACAACTTTTTGTTTTATTTTCCTTGATGACAAAAGTAATGCAAGCTTCTTGCAAAAAATTTGGAAAAGGCCAACATGTAAAAAGAAAATCATGTTCACCCAGATAGCACTTTCTAATTTTTTATTTTAAAAAATAGCAATTTAATGTACTTAATGACTATCTGTATTTATGAGCGTACTTCAAAAAGTTTGTGGAAAAATAGAATTAAAAGATATTACAAATCTTTCCATGAACTATTTAAAGACCCCTTGCATAAACCAACTCCACAAAAAAACAAAACAAAACTGCCACCATCAGGATCATGTGCTGCGCCCGCACCTCGCTCAGCCAGTGAGTGGGAACCGGTCTGTATGTGGGATCCAAACCCTCGACGGGAGCGCCGCCGCGCTCTCAAGCGGCGCACTGTAGCAGTGCGCCACTGGGCCGGCCCTTTCCATGTTTTAAAATAATATTTAATTTCATGGAAAAGGATTATACACAATTGTATATATAATATGACCCTACTTTTATTAAATGTTTATATGAACAGATAAAAAACTGGAAGAGAATAAATCAGAGTAGTAACAGTGATTATCTCTGGGAAATAGAACTACGAGTGATTTTTTTCTTTTTCTAAAAATGTTTTATAGATTTTCTACAAGGAACATTTATTACCTTTGTCATTAAAAAAGATATTTAAAAATAAAGTTTTTCCATACTTTAAGATAAGTTCAAGATTTTTCTTCTAGCTCTTTTTTAAGATTTCATTTTCTTCCCCATTTAACTTTCAAATCTATCAGAATTTATTTTGCATATATGTGAAAAAACTCTATTTCAAAAATTACATAGTTAACTTTCCAAACCCAATTTGTTGAATAAATCCTCTCTTCCCTATTGGTTTGTGATTTTTCCTTCAAATACATTATACCAGGGATGGTTTCAGAACTATCCACTTCAGAGCTATTCAAAGTGCCCACAATGAAGTAAAGAACTTGGGCCAGAATGTAAATCAACACACTGCTTCCTTCATTGAGAAAGTCTTTATTTAAATTTTATTTTTTTTCTTTGGCAGCTGGTCAGTAACAGGGATTGAACCATGGACCTTGGTGTTAGCAACCATACTCTAACCAACCGGGCTAATTTGCTAGCCCTGTTTGAGAAAATTTTACTGCCAAAAAAAAAAAATGTCAGCCTAACTCAACTGTATGCTTAGTGAAGCAGCTGATTTACATTCTAGCACAAGTTCCTTATCTTGTTGTAGACTAAAACCGACAGTCCCCATACTGTGGGTCCACGGACTACTCTCAGCAGCACTGGTCCATTCTATTCTGTTGACCTGTCTTGATTCTTGTGCTAGTATCACAGATTTACTTATGCAGCTTTATCCGTTTTACTCTCTGGAACTCTTGCTGTAACCCTGTGTTGTCAGTCAATCTGAGGATCAAATGGTGTTAAAGACATATTCCTAGTGCTCAGCTGGCTTCTGTGGCCTGGAACTCTGCGCTTAATACTAAACCTATCCCATGTCTGACAGATGTGCCTTTTGGCAGAAGCAGAAAGGAGATTCCTGCTTGTTACTCAGAAGGAATCCTATTAAAACTCATATCCAAATATGAGACAGAGGTCACAGAAGGAAGATAATCACTTCTTTATTCTAGTGAGCTGGCCCAGCGTGGCTGGTCTCGTGACCCAGCAGCAGTGGGAGAATCTCCAAAACCTCTGTATGGCAGTTGTACAGGATGCCTGGGAGATGAAAGGACCTTGGACCCAAATGCTCTGGGCAGAAGCTGCTCCAAATTCCACTTTAAAAAAAAAAAAAAAAAAAAAAAGAGGAAGCCCAGCCTTCCTGGAGTGATCAGGATGCTTATTTATAGTGGCCTGGGCCCCTGCCAGTATTTCCATATATATGGGAGTGGGGCCATCCTGCTCAGCAGTGAGGAACAGAAACTCAGACCATGGTTTACACGTAGTGTTTTTGCCTAGTAGTGTTCTTGCCTACTCTTTTCAGGGAAGTAAAAATACCTAACATTTGCATGGCAAATACAATGGTTTCTTCACATGGCATAGCCAAGGTGACAGGTCAGGTTGAGAGCTGGCCTTTAGGAAGCACATGCAGAAAGTCTGAACGCAAGCTGGGAAGTGCAAGGCCACCATGCAGGGCTGGCTGTGTCCCACAGCCCACCCGCTTCCTTCCCCTCCTCTGGGAGAGCTGTGTCACTGACTTTCCTAAGGAATAACCAAAACAAGCCTCCTCTCCCACTCTGAGAGCTGGTGAGGCTGCCACGCTGCCATGGCAACCCACAGTGAGCGCTGGTGTGGATGGCAGTCCTGCCCTGGTGGCCATCTTCAGGCCTACCTCCACTCCCTGCCTTCACAGACACCAGAAGGAAGTACCTGGGGACTCTGTGGCATCTGATCCTCACTGTGTCTCGTCTAGCCTTGGCAATTCCATGGAAACGAATTGGCAGTGAGGCCACTTCACTTTAGCCTTTACCCAGAGAAATGGTATCATTGACAGTACTTTGAAACAACATCTACACAGCACACACATCATGTATAAAATACCATCAGAGCATCAACAGATACCTTATTCTCCCTCATAATTATCACACATACACACACCCCTGCATGATTTTTATGTTTAGAATTTTGTTGGAATTAATGAATACAGCATATATATATATATACAACAAAACACTATAGCTATATTTCAGAACCACCTTTTATAAAAAGCTACAAAGAAAGCCATCTCAAATTATTTTATGAAGAAAAATGGATTTGTGGAGGTAGACTGATACTTCAAGATGAAGAGTTACTTCAGACTGCCTAAGGAAGGTGAAGGATCACCTTGCTATGGCTCTC